TAAATATGGTTGATAGGAAACATACCAATAACCATAGTTGTTTCTTGGCATGCATCTACCGCATCTATCACAAATTCCCTTCTTTTACCACCATGATTCTTCAGCTTAGGGCAATCTTTCTTGAAATGCTCTGGTTGGTTGCATTCAAAGCAGTTGCGGCTTCCTCATGCAACAATAGTTGAGGTTGTGTTGTTCGGGGCCTTTCTGCAAAACTTAACGGTATCCATTTAAATTGTAGTTGATGCATGTCAATTTCCAATATGATGGTAGTTGTACTTGGTATAGTTAGGTATAGTTCCAGAGTAGGGATTTGCTGGAGTATGAGTGTTTGTGGTTGCAGAGTACACTGTTACAGGTTCTATATTAGGTTTGCGATGCTTGAAGTTCCCTTTCGGATTTCCATGTAACTTCCTCTTTGTACTCCCAGCTTGGTTCTTTTCTTTTGACGGGACCATGGTACCTCGACAGATACTTTGCTCATTTTAATTGATAGGCTAGTTGTTTAGCACTATCGAAAATGGAGGGTCTAGATGCAATAACCATACCTTGGATTGGTGATGCTAGTCCCCAAATGTATATTTCCTTCTTTTTGTCTTTCGGGGTCACCATCCCCGGGATAAGGTTAGCAAGGTCATTGAATCAGGAGGTGTAGGCAGCCACCTTTGATCCTTGCATGATCAACTTCCAAAGTTCTTATTCTAGAGCCTGGACTTCCTGTTGTGGGTAGTACTCCTTGATCATCATCTGTTTCAGAGGTTTTCATCTCATGGCATAGGCTTCATCGAGTCCCATGGACTTGGCATGGTTATTCCACCAAAATAAGGCAGAGTTCACCAGTGTGCAGGTAGCGTACTTGACCCGATAGTCATCAGGGCAAAAAATGATGTGAAATACTGCCTCCATCTTTTCTATCCAGCAAGATAGACCAATAGCTCCTTCCGTGCCGTAGGAGGATCGAGGTTTACAACCCCATGAACGCTTTGTATGAACAAGTTCTATAGTGGTTTTGATTATTGACTGTAGTGCCACCGTCGTTTCTATTGTTCATAGTGTTGTCATTTCTGGCAGCCTCATATGCGGCTAGGGCTGTAGCAATCCCTTGCACAAGCAGAGTCTGCATTAGACTAGGATCCATTTGAAATGGTGGATTTGCATTTGTTGTTCCTGGAGTTCATCCATGGTTCGGAGTTTCTATTGATGTTCGATTTACTTCTGGAGCACTCGTTTGGTTGCCTCGGGGAGTTGGTAGTGGACGGGCTCGTGGAGGCATTGTCTTAATATGTTTTAGATAGATATGTAAAGTTATTTTACACTACATAATCGTAACAAGTATGGATGTATTTTGTATTCATACAATTTGTTTTTCACAAAATCCTAAAGATTCCAAATCATAAAATGAAGGTTTTACTTGATATAGTGTTTACATGTCGAACCACCGTAATATATCTTCCCTTATTTTTCTATAATTGATGTCAATCTTAGCGCATTTATGATTGTGGTGTTTGGGACCATGTACAAAAAAGTTTTACCTCAAGTCCACTACACCATCCTTATATTTGCAATCTCCATCTTCCTCTTGTGCTTTGGTCAAGATTTATAACCATCAAATAGACTTTATCATATATTCACTCTATAGAATTTATACTTTAGTTTCGGCTTTACCATCTTGTCACATAAAACTAATATGGTTGCTCAAAATGATGGTAAATACATATTTATCTTCTTCTCACACAAAACTCTAATACGGTTGAAAATGATGTAAACTATTTATTTGTTTTTCCTTTTAACACTTAGACCATCCTAACTTCAATACAACAAGTAGCCGTAGTCGTGTTCTTTAAAGATTAATCATAGTGTCCGGGGTATATGACCCACCGTACGTTTAAGTTCAATGCATTTAGAGATTATTTTATTCTCATATCTAAATATATTGAAAATGTAATAAAATGTTCCTCGGTGATTTTATAGTTAAAATGGGAAATTTTGTGCCATGCGATGATCTTGGATATATCCGCAAACAACTGTGAATCAAAGTACACATTACTATTTCATGATGGATATGTTTGTTATTCTACCTTTTTATAAGCAAATATTAAGACGTATTTTAATAAGTTAAAAAAATAATGATAATAAGGAGGGTATTGGAGCCATTCAAAGTAGCCAATCGACATGTTGCCAAAAGTTAAAGTTGCCCATATATCAAAGAGTCATTCCCCACTTTGGATGGACATTTGCTTTGATGAATCTACCAAGTTTATCATTATGTCAATTGTCATGTATCTTTTTTTTTATTAAAAAAAATTAGAATCCCAATCAAATATAGGTAAACATTGAATAGTTTTCGGACTTAGAAAGTTTTCATAATCATAACTATAATACTCCTCTCTACCATGGTGTCGACATTCTCTTATGTCACCTTTTAAACTATATAAACTTATAAAGGTTATTTTGTCATTAATAGTTGTGCATCTTGCATTGATATTAGTACATTATATGTAGCATCAAGCCAATTACACGTATTAGAATGCTCATAGAATTATGATATGCAATCTCATCAATTCAACAACATATTCTTTCATTCCACAAGAAAAATATAGAACTTGGTTATGTGATATAAGTGTAGAATTTCAACACTTCTGTGAATCACATAGTTAGTCATAGTTGCTGTCACAACTTTGTAATTTTGATCCCCACATTTCAAAATATTTTTTTTGAGTCATTAACCAAAATTTGTGTAATACTATGTGTCAACTCAACTCTTATATATATATATATATATATATATATATATATATATATATATATATATATATATATATATATATATATATATATATATATATATATATATATATATATATATAATTGTTAGAGCAAAATTTTACCACACGTGTGACTCGTCAAATATACATTCTTTGAGAAAGTATTATACTTCTTTTGTCCAAAACAACGTTGAGTTAAAAGAAATTTCCGATAAATCCTAATATTTTGGGTTAATTTAAGATTTAATATCAACATTTATTTTTTGAACAAAAAAATCTCGATTATCTAATTTTATACGGTAATATTTCGTTTTTCTATTGAAATAAAATGAGGACTATTTTGTCAATTTGGACAAAATATAAAATAATCGAGAGTTTTCTGCTCAAAAAATAAAAATTAGAATTAAACTGTAAATTGATCCAAAATATTATAATTTTATTAAAGATTTCCTTTTGATTTAACGTGTATTTTAGCATGATCCTCATATTAGTAGGGTCACATGCATACAATATGTTTGTATACTGGAGTCATCAAACATATTAGATAGTTGGAATTTACACAAATACCAAATATGATCTTATGTTATTCTCAAATACAAGTCAAAGGTGCAAAATGCACATAAATATGGGCTAGATTGATCCCCGAACATGATTGTAGTGCCTTTGTTATGTTAAAACAATACCCGAAACCCAAACGAATTTGAGGACTTCAAGTGAAAAAAAATGATGACATGCATCGTCTGAATAACCAGTGTTAACATGATCCAACGTGTCAAATCATTCCAAACTTTTGATTCATCTTCCAAATCGTCCACATTAAACTATTCATCATTTCCCAACCGCTACCCCACAAATGGCAAAGATGAATAGGGGTGAGAATCAGTTCGGTTTCCTCGATTGGATTTTTTTTTTTTTTTGTCTAAATCGAAAACTAAAGCAAACCGAATTCAAATCCCTCCCGACCAAATCAAAAATTAAATTCCATTTCGGTTTGGTTTGGTTTGGATATTGAGGATACCAAATTGCTAAAAGGGCTAAAATGTGATTTATTTTAAATTTGTTATTTAACATTTTTATTTAACATATAAATATAAAATATTTTTTTTAATTAATTATTTAATCAAATTTGGTTTTTCGGTTTAGTTTGATCTAAAATTCACGAAACCAAAACTCAAACCAAAAACCAAATTCAAAGTTCGGTTTGATCTCAAGTGAGACCAAATACCAAATCTGAATATAGTTTGCTGTAAAATCGATTTCAATTCGATTTGAATTTTAAGTTTTTTCGGTTCCAAACTCACCCCTAAAGATGAGCAACTCTTTCTTACCTTCACTACAAGTTGTTTTTTTCTTAAGTTCCTCCTTGACCTTAGATAGAGAAATTTTATGAATATATATGGAATAATATATCTTATCAATATTTTATAATAATTATTTAAGTACCTTTCTATATGATAAGAATCACTTAATGGTATGAATTAAAAATGTTAAGATACCATGATGTTCCATCAACTCATTAAGATTAGCACCAGAAACCTCCCCACTAAAACACTAGTTTCCATCAAATCAATGATAGACACCAAACATATTTTTATTCCCAATATAGGCCTCACATTTTTTTATATTTCATACAAGTACATGGTATCATTCATGCTTTGATTCGTACTACCACACCATAATTACATTTTTCCAAAAAAAAAAAAAAAAAAACGTGTTCTATAAACCAAATATTTGACATTTTCTTACAACTTTTTATTTTTTTTCAATTAAGCCCTTCTATATTCCAAGAGTGTCTATTCCATTACTATATCCTATAGGCTGCTTCTTTGTACAAATGGAGGGGATTAAAGGGTAAATTCGGCACACAGGCTCTTTAAGGTAAAAAGCACTTGCGTTTGGAAATGTAAGAATTTTGCAAGAGAGGGGGACCTTTGGGTAATTAAGTAAAAGTTCAAGGGGCTGGTTGACTTAACATTCTATGATTAGGCCTCCCATTGGTGCTCTGTGGGGTATACCCTTTCTCCTCTTTGCTGTTCTGAAGCTTGCGGCGGTCGGAGGTGGCGTTGACGGAGTGAAGCTGTGAATTCTGATGTTATTGTGGTTGCTCAGCTGCCGGAGATGGCTACCACTGCTGTATGAATCATCGGAATCCGACACAGCCATTAACAAATGCTTTTTCTCCGGCGAGATCTTCCTCTTCTTTTCGAAATTCTTGGATGTCCCAACAATCTGTACATATCATAAACAATGAATTCGATCATTGATTATTCAAAATGTAAAAACGAAAAGGAATCTGATTTGGATTTTTTCCATTGAATTTCAAATAACCAATCATTCAATGTCCACATTCTCCGATTCCCACTCATGGTGGTCATCAAAAAGTCAAAATCATGATCATAAACAAAAACCCAGTTCGATGGTTGAGATTAAATCCATGTTCGAATGTTCAATCAAAGTACCATCATCAACCCAGTGAAAAAGATATAAAATATAAAATGATTCCGAAAACCCAGAAAAAAAATTCGTCATTGACCACCATTCGTAGGACTACACGTAATGATTTCAAGTCAACCACGAAACAGAGGAGTAGGTGAACAAATTAAAATCAAATTCAGCATTTCCCCAAAATTAAATTAATTCATAATACATTGATGAATGACGAATGATGATGATAATCTTACCTTGCATCCAAGTGAACAGAATCTGAAGGAATCAAGAAGGCTACGCTCACAAACTTCACATGTATTCGTAACTCCTTTCCCTGGCCTTGGTTGTGGTCGTTCGTTTAAGAAGACAACTTTTGCGCTGTTGATAACATAAGTTTGTACTGAAGCAATGTCCAAGAACTTCTGAATCTCAGATACCCTAATCACATCATGATATGATGACCTTCGTATCTGCAAATCAATCGCAAAAATTCAATTTCCCCATTATAAATTATCCAGCAAAATTGAAAGACCAGTTTGCCGAATTAAACCAAAATTTCCAAATTGGTTGAGAAAACCGAGTGAAAGTCAAATTCGGTGAGAAACCAGATGATTTTATTCAAATTGGGTAAAATCCAGATGCTATAGTACATAATTTGGTTACGAAAAAGCTGTTAGGCTGATGAATCGGTGAATACAAAAGGAGTTAAAGATGATGTTGAATTTCAAAATTTGGTACTAAACTGATTGGAAATTAAAAAGGTGTTCATATGTTTGAATTCAAAAATGGTTAAAACCATGAAACAAAAGTGGAAGAAGAAGAACAAGAACAAATACCTGAATGGCGCGGTGGTCCTCATGGTGATTGAGACAAAGAGAACACAGAGGACCATTCATGCAATCCAAACAGTACATATTACATTCCGACTTGTGTGAATCAGCATGTAATTTGCATTGAACAAAGAAGCTTTCACGAAGTAGAGGCTTCAACCATGGCGGCCACCTGTTGCTATCTTCCTCAACAGGTCCTCCGGCGCCCTACATTATCATCAACTAAAAAACTCAAAAACCCAAAAACGCACAACAAAAAAGCAGAAAACATACACTAAAACGACGAAAACTTACCATAATTCTTCGATTCTTTGGTTTGATTTCACGAAGGAGAGAGGTTTCGTGATTATAAGTCGCCAGTTTGAGAGGGAGGTGGTGGAAAATGGAAGCGGCGATGAATGCGAGGGGTACTTGTAGGAAAAAGTGAGGGTGAAAGAGAAGGGTGGTTGGTTCTTGTCCGTTCATACAAAATGAGGCCTAACTCAGAAGCCCAAACCTTGCCTTTTTATTTTTTAATAAAAAAAATACAAAAATCAAATATATTCGTTTATTACATAATTATATTCCCTTAATGATTATATATATATATATATATATATATATATATATATATATATATATATATATATATATATATATATATACTAAAAAAAGAATAGTTTTTTTGCCACTTAATGATCATATTAAATCTATTAATTAATGTATTGCTACTTGTCAATTTATTAGTTCTTTATTTTAAATTTATTAGACATCATCATTAATATGATGCTATTTGTCAATGTATTTATTCTATATTTTAAATTTAAATTTTATATTATTGTTTTCATAAATTCACAAATAAAAAATGTCTAATATATATTAAAAATTAATTTTACATATTTATTTGAATCAACGATTATAATTTCATATAACTAATAAAAACATCTCTTAATTAATAATTTATTTAAAATAATTGATTAATAATTTTGAGTTTTTACTATAAAAGTTTAATTAATTTTATAACCGTGAGAATCACGGGTTATAAATTAATATATATATATATATATATATATATATATATATATATATATATATATATATATATATATATATATATATATATATATATATATATATATATATATGAAAAAAAAAAAAAAGTATCGAATGTCATTGGATATAATCTGTTGATCTTACATGTATTTTTTTTTTATCATGGTCATAAATGTAAGCTTTAAAGCACAATATAGAGATTTAATAAATCCAATATTATATGGTAAATAACGATATTAATTTACATTCTTTAGTAACCGATACAATAAATTTGCAATTGCAAATAATTGAAGAAGATTGTTTCGTGTCTCAACACATGCAATGGTGTTTTATTTGGATATAAGATGAATGCAATAAAAACTTTATGTATTAACCCTCAAGATTTACAATGTCTAGCTGGAAAAATGAATTAACATTTTTTTGGTTGGCTACGCCCACAATTTTTACGCATATAAACCTAAAAAAACCCTAAAAATTGGTTTCATAGTTAATTTCGTTATTTTCTTATAGAATCAGTCTTAAATTGGGTTTAAAATCTAAATTTGGTCCCTGTAATACGAAAAAAAAATACAAAATATGTTTTTTTAACTTTACATATAATTTATTTATTTTTGTTATATATATATATATATATATATATATATATATATATATATATATATATAACAAAAATAAATAAATTATATGTAAAGTTAAAAAAACGTATTTTGTATTTTTTTTTTTCGTATTACAGGGACCAAATTTAGATTTTAAACCCAATTTAAGACTGATTATATATATATATATATATATATATATATATATATATATATATATATATATATATATAATATATATATATATATATATATATATATATATATGAAAGATTAATAGAAAATACATAAACCTAAAAAAACCCTAAAAGTGTATAAAAGATACTTTGAGATATCTAAACTTTTTTTTTTTTTTTGACTTTAAAAAACTAAAAATCGCTATATTTCATATAAAAACGAAAAATAAAGTTACAAAAACCATGTGGTGTAATTTTTTATTTTTTTGCAAATTCTAGGAGCCAAATTTGAACTTTAAACTTAATATTAATACTGATTTTGTAACAATGATAACAAAGTTAAACATGAAATCAATTAAGTGGGTTGTAACGATAATTCTACATAAAAATTATAACAATGACCAACAAAAAAAGTAGAACTTTTTCAACTACATGTGTAAAACTTGATACTTTAATGATATTAATCGTTAATCTTACAATTTTAATTAGTTTTAAGGAACTTTTAGCTTTTTGATTTTTTAACTAATTATGTTTTGTGTGCATTTAAAAGCTAAAAGCTAATTTTGTTAAATACTTATGTATGATTAAAAGTTATAATTTTCGACTATCAACTATAATTTCCAATTTTTAAGTGTATATTAGTTTTATCAAACATCCATGATAAATCTTTTTTAACAAATAAAAATCTATTTTGCTAAATGTCACTCTGTCATTAAATTTGTATATGTTATTTTGTGGTTATTTTAAATTAGTATTCTACATGTCATTTTATAGTTTTTATTTTTCATTTTATTAAATTCTACATATTATTTAAATTTAATATTTACAGTAAATGTAATAATAAATGCATATAATTTCAGTAATGGCCTTTCATTCTGGTTTTAAAATTCCTAAATCCTCATTAGTTTCATTTGGTTATTTAGCTAAACTATTTATTCAAATTTAAAAGTAAAAAAACACTTTAGTTGTAATAATTTAATATTTTTCTTATTTTTTTTAATTATAAATTCAAACTTTTCAAATATTTAGAATATTATATTTTTTTTCTCTTAAATAAATTCATGTAATATATGGGTCTCACATATATGGGTCTCACATGTAATATGTTATATATATTTGAAAAAGTAGAATATTAGTAAGATGTTTTCAAAATAAAAGAGCATATAAAAAATAAATGCATAAACTATGTGAGTACACATTCAAAGCGAGGCATAAAAATTATGCAAAGTCGGTCAGAAATAATGTATGAGCAAAAATATCATATAAGTATGGATTGATCAAATTTTATGTATTAAATTCCGATAGCTTATATCTTTTTGTTTCAAATTCACTAGTTTAACGAAATTATTCTAATTCAATATTAAAGATTATTATAAACAATGATAATGTGATCATAATATATGAGGATGAAACTATTAATAGGTGTGATAATTTTCCAAACCACCCAAAGCATAGCCGTCATTATTAAAGTTAATGTTTGAGGATATGGAGCCGGAAATGAGTGAAGGGACCTTTCCCTCACCTCGAAACATTATACCAAGGGTGAACAAGATGTGTGCGGGAAAAGAGTGAGGGGGTCTCTCTCTCTCTGTGTGTGTGGTCATTTTTAATTTTTTTTTAATATTTATTAAATTATATACCTACTAAAAAGTATTAAAATATATCAAAATTCATGGTTTTTAATTCCTTACAAAATGAGTATAATATTTGTATGGAATATTTAAAAAAAATAAAAAGTTGTAAAAGGTGACAGTTTCCTATCTTTTGGTGAAGGAAAAAAGAATGAGGGAAAACGAAAATTCTATACTAAACATTCGAACAAACTCTCTTGAAATATTCATCACTTTAACAACCTTTACTGAAGACCATACTTCCTCTTCTTTTTTACCCAAGACTGCATGAAATCTCATTTTCAATCTCTTATATTCATCTTTGTCATCGAACTGATCCGCCAACTTATATTGTGCAAAAACAAACATCCTATGATTTATTAGGAAATCAAGTTGATTAAAGTCAGAGTTATCAATCTCATAACTCTTTTTTGGAGCTTTTTGAAAATCATGCATTTTCCTTAATATACCCAACTTGTTTGATAGTTTCATAGCACCAGTGTTTTTTGGGATCACCCTTGTTTAAACATGGTGGATCATTCTATCTCAGCCTCAGAATGCTATTTATTTGTCTTTGCCTTTCAATTTCCAACTCCAAATTCTTCTTCTTCACTTCTTCAGAAGGAGTTATCTCAGTGTCTTTCCCTTTATGTCCTTTATCATCTTTTAAAGGAGGTTGTTTCGAACTTGACCCTGATCCTCCAGCGCTTTCTCTAATAACAATCACTTTCGTTATCGGTCTCAATGTCTTTCCCTTTGAGTCGATATCACCTTCCTTACAACTATACACTTATCAATATCTTTCGAAGGGTCAACACCTCCACATCCTTTTTCTCCCCCTTGCACCACATACGTCGCAGGTGGAGCATTAGATGGTAATAGAGGTACCAACTTAAGGATGGGATCAAGCTTTGCTTTGATGTTTGATTCAATTGAAGAGATCATCATTGAAATAGATTCCTGAGAGATTGAAGATTATCGGGAAAGATCAACCTTCGAAAGAGATTTTTTTAGACTGCTCAAAAATTCCTCCAACTTTTCAAAAACTTTTGAGTCTTGTGTTGTTTTCGCATCAAGCTTGGTTGAATACAAAGTGTTATATTCCACAAGCTTCGCGATGGCATCATCTATAACATTAACTTTGCCATGAAGAGTTGAATAATTCTTCTCTAACTTCTCCAGTCCTTTATTCATTTCAGACTTAAGCTCTGCAACCTTGAGATTGATAGATTCTTCCAACTTCTTAACCTGCTCAACCAAAATTTCATGACGTTATTTAGTAACATCATGAAGTTTTGTAACCTCATATTCAAAATTGCGAGCATGATTCTTTAATTGATCAACATTTTGTTGCTCAATTTTCTCCATAGCAATCTTAAGGCGATTCTCCTGAGATTTAAGCATAAACTCCACTTCAACCCCAGAGACAACGTTTCGTCCTCCTGTATCAGTTTGGATTTGTAACAAAGAATTAAGCTTGTTGTTGAGAATCTTAAATTTTTTTCCTGACATAAGCATATTATCAGGAATATTGTTTAGGATTGAACTGTAAATCTGCAAAAAAAAAAAAAAAAAAAAAAAAAAACATAACTTCATCACCATTAGGTTATTCTTCTTGAATTATCCTTTCTCCTTCTATGGATTGAGAAGAGAAAAGGTTGTGATTGGTTCATGCATGATGCTGGAAAATGTTGGTGAGATTGTAGAAGCAGGAAGTGAAGGCGGAATAGGAGAAGATAAGATTGGTAATGAAGTTGGGGTATCAAGTAGTGTGGTTTTGATGGTAAAAGAGAGAATAAGTGTTGTAGGAATATTGGAGGTTTAAAGAGAAAAAGTATTAGGGCTTCTTTATTCATCATACCTTCACCCTTAGTGACATTTGTGTTCGTATCAGATACGCTCACAGGGATGCCTGAGGTTCGAACGTCCTCCTTAGTTGACTTAGTTAATGACAACTCGGGTGGTGTGATTGTTGCCTTCTTAGGGATGGAAGTATGTGGAGGATCACTCCATATTAGATACGTGTACATTGCCACCAAGATTTTCAGTCTCCTCGAAAATCGACTTGACTGGGGAATCCCTTTGAGGTGAACCAAAACCAGTATTAGCATAACGAATGACTGACCTTTCGCTTCCACTGTCAATCTCAGTTTCAATAACAACTTCATCAAGTGGATCTTCCATCTGTCTCTTCTTCTTCTTGTTATTTTTGACCATTTCACGACCTTTTCTTTTCATGGAAGTAGGGGACACAGGAGCAAAAACTTCACGAATGAGCACACCTCTTCTGTTAAGTTGAGGTTTTTATATCTTCTTAATCCCCTTTGTTAAAGACACATGATTAGAATCGTCTTGAATTATTGGACTTTCAGGAGAATGATGAGAGTCGGTGAGCAGGCTTCTTTATTCTTTTGAGAATGCCTGTCTTCGAAGGAACAACCTCCTTAGGAACTTCCTTCTCCACACTCTCTTGAACAAGTTTTGTAATTTCCTTCTTAACATGCTCGTGAACAGACTTTGGTTGTTCAGTATTCTTCGATTTCTTAGAAGCTTTAGCAGCCTTCGATGTACCCTCAAAACCCTTTGGTAAAAGAACACCAATAGTAACATTTGGGTTAACAGATGTCAAATATTGAACTAGAATCAGATTTGTTGGATCAATTCTTCTTAACACGGTATCAGGAATGCGAGCCACACTCGGATAAAGAACTGAATCATCAGTAACCAGTTTTGGAGTCTGCAATGTCGAAAGCTCTGCCTTTTCATCTTCCAATAGAACCAAAATCCCTTCTTTTTCATATACATCCCTTAGGATTAAATTCCAGTATCTTGCACAAGATACACCATTCCTTGCATTGGTGTGAGAGATTCTTGTACCGAACTCTTCCCATAATTGAGTGACATACTCGAAATTTAGGTCATAATAAAGACCTGCAATCATCGCATATACGTCCAACTTCGCCTTATCAAGCCTGAACTACGACAAGTCAAGCATTGTAGAAAATTAATAAATAAAAAATTCCACACACAAGGCAAACTGGAGTTATGGATTTGACTAATCCTAGTGAGAGGTGAGTGATGACCCATCTCATTAAACATATAAACAACATGTTCATTCATTAATTCCTATAATGGACATGTGTATGGAAGCTTCATGATGTGAGAAAATTGTCGCTTGGTGAGATTTTGCAGTTTGTTGTTCGTCAGTTGGAATGTCACAACCTTTGTTGTTTTGTTAAACACCGTTGTTGATCAAGCAAGAGATAGTAAGGTCATAGGAACATAGAATGAAGAATACATGATAGTTGAAAGAATAGAGTGATTTAGGGATTCAATCAACATATGCAATTGTTCAGGATATTAATTGATGTTTGGATGTAAACGAAGATTTGAACTTTGAATCTTGAGCAGTGGTTGGGCAGTCTCCTCTTCATTTGTGGTGTTGAAAGGATCAACATAGCTAGTAGGAGTTGACATGGTTAGAGTTTGAAAGAATTGAGTGAATACGATTATCTTTGAAGAATTTTGGGGGAAATTTGACCAGAGAGCATACATTATTCAATTTACACCACCAAATTCCTTTTATAGTCGACGTCTAATTTGAATTTGAACTGGTAACCAATCAGATTTCTGCCACGTGTAGCCTTGGTTATGGGGTTGATTACCGTAAAAGTCGTCACGTCAGAAAAAGTGATCATCACAATTTCCTAAAAAAACGTGAAATACTGAACCGTCACATCCGCCGAATGTTTCATTAATCCCAATGAGATAAGAACTATCATTTGTTTTGAACTATGGAACATCTACACCTGAAGTTTCAATATCGAGAGAACACAAGGCCTTCGCTATGAAGTAGGCTCATTCGATTTTGGGGTTGTAAAGCAAAATCATATGCCAGACTTTGCGAAATCTAGGTTTTGAATTGGTATTACCCAAAACCTCAAGGATTCCAGTGCAAATGTTTGCCAAAAAAATTAGTGGGAATCAAATTAAAAAAAATTGTGTGAATAGTGACATCAAATAACATTTGATGTGAAAGTAGTTGGATCTCGAGCAAATATCTCTTCATTCAACATCAAGAGAGATGACAAACTGCTTGTGTGGTTTCCCGTGAAGTACAATCAAATACTCCTCAATAAGTATCGAATGCCTCTTTTTGCACAGGTTTCGAAGGTAGGCTCAATTTTACTTAATACCATAACTTAAAATAAGTGTTAGTTGATTGAACAAAATTACTTGTATGACCAGTGTAGTCAAGAACAAGTGTGAGGTTGGATAATATTTTGAAATGACTAGAATTCAAAATGATATTTAGATGGAAATCATATTCCAAAAAAGTAATATATGGATCCTGTTGGGCAAAAATATCTTGGTTAAAGAACATTTTTTCAAGATCACGCATAACGAAAGGAATATTATTTTGAATATCAAAAAGTGGTACATAAACCGATGTTTTCATTATAAGCTTGAACAAAATTTTCACTGTCAGTTCCTTAGAAGTTGGGAATTTTGGGTTTCACCATCATCACGGAAAAATGAATTAGGATCATAAACACATACGGTTGCAATATCTACATTTTGGTTGGTTTCTACCAGAGATGTCGAGGATATACAGTGATGTGTGTGATCGTGAAGAAATTTTTTGATGAAAAAGATTGGTTAAGGAAACTCATTGTACCTCTGCGAAAGATATGAACTTAGCAAATTTCTCTTTATTCAAAATACGAAGAGAAAGGTAGCTCTTCGACTAATGTGAATATATCCTGATTGGGTAGGAATACTCATAGTGAGAGATCCATTAAGGCATCGAACACATAAGTCTTTGAGGCTTAAGGTCAACATACATCAACATGCTTATAGGGACAACTAAATAGGAGAATAAATGAATGCTTTTGACTTATTTAAATGAAAATTTTACTCGGTATTTTCGGGACATTAAAAAAATGAGCTAAAGGACCATGATAACTTTCATGGCTAAAAAGGAAGGCAAAAGATCATGACTTTCCTAGTCCATGAGGTCCAAGAAGCATTCCAAACTAATCAAAAGGTGTTGGAGTGCTCTCAACTCCAAGAACACCCATAAAACCAACCAAAAGTGCCAAAAACCACAAATGAATAGATCTAAAGAACTAAGGAACAACATATGAGTTGTATACTCATAATCGTCCAGAATTGGAGTGACTTTGATGGGTCCAAACTTGAAACAACATTCCTTGCAACCCAAAGAACCTTATTAATCTTCAAGCTTCATCAAAATACCACCAAAAGCATCTAAAATAGGAGATATGGAAGGGTAGTAGCTCAAATCTTGAAGAGGGTGGGGGTAGGGTTGTTCCTAAGGAGTTCTAGGCGTGATGGAGGCTAAGAAAATACCCTAAGACATGAATCCTTATCTTTAAATACCTTGAAAACCCTAAAAATTTGTGAACTTGGGCTACCCAGCGATCACCTCGTGACAATCTGCTTGTCACTTCCTGATGACTCATCATGTCGTGAGGATCCGATCCTCACCTCGTGGCGATGAGTTTTCACATAAATGCACTACAATTTCAAGCAATCATAACTTCTTCGTTTCAACTCCATTTCCGGCGATCTTTATATCCACGTGAAGGCATTGACAAGCACCACAATTCTATATAATTACATTTGACTTAAATCATATTGAACTAAATTCCTTAATTCATGAAAGAGGTCTGATACATCACTTTTCCCATTTTACTCTTTGGTTTCAACACACAAATCAAGGGCTTAGATCTCATAACCAATAGTATCAACATTCAATAAGGTCTAAACTTTATTTCCTTGAAGCCCAAAGCCTTTACATGATCGAATTATGGTCCACAATCATGAATTACAAAACATCCTAAAACTGGTTGTTATAGAAAGAGTCATCGATTGGATCTTGATTATTATGAGATGTTTAGTATGATTATGAAATTAACCACCATTGATATAGTTCTTATTCATCTCTTTTCTTGGCATATAATAGTTCACCCGTTGGAAGTCAATGAATGCATTAGTTTATAGGGACCTTCATGAGAATGCCTATATACATCAACATTTGAGCTTCGTGTATGCAATAAAGTCTAATTATGAATCTCTTTGTGGACATAAATAGACTCCTCATTCTTGGTTTCCCCGATTTGCTCACTTTTCCACTCGCCTCGTGTTCAAACACCATTGATGTGATTCTTATCTTTTCATATATGATAATGGCACCTCAGTTTCTTATGTTTTTTTAGATGGGAACATCATCATTCTAATTGTCCGATTTATGTATTTGCTTCAGTGTGTAATCTAACTCTCTCAGTACTGTATTTATTATGACTGACTATAAGCCGCTTAACCACTTCCTTGAGATTTATGTTGCTCACTCGACTTTTGACATATCTTTTTTTCTTAGC